AAGAGCAGCCTGTTTAATTTCACAGACGATACCAAGATTTGGGGTGAGGTGGGCATGCTAGAAAGGAAGGGCAGATTACAGCAGGACCTGGACAGGATGGGACTCAATACTGACAAGTGCAGGGTGCTGCACCTGGGCGGTAGGAACCAGCAGCATACCTATAGACTGGGGAACTCCCTTCTCAAAAGTACGGTGGCAGAAAGAGATCTTGGAGTCATTACTGACTCCAAGATGAACATGGGTCGACAATGTGAGAACATGGTCAGTAGGGCTAACCACACCTTGTCATGCATCCCCAGATGCATCTCAAGCAGGTGGAAGGAGGTGATCCTCCCCCTCTATGCAACACTGGTCAGGCTGCAGCTGGAGTACTGTGTCCAGTTCTGGGTGCTGCACTTCAGGAGGGATGTGGACAGCACTGAGAGGGTCCAAAGGAGGGCCACTCACATGATCTGGGGACAGCAGGGCAGACCCTATGAAGAGAAGCTATGGGACCTTAACCTGTTCAGCCTTCACAAGAGAAGGCTGAGGGGGAACTTGTTGACCATCTATAAACTTACTAGGGAGATCAGTGGGGCTTGGGAGAGACCTTTTTTCCCCAAGTGTTTCCCGGAGTAACAAGGAATAACGGCCATAAGTTGCTAGAGAGTAGGTTTAAACTAGAGATTAGAAGGCACTACTTCACAGTGAGGGCGGCTAGGATCTGGAACCAACTTCCAAGGGAAGTGGTGCTGGCTCCTACCCTGAAGGTCTTTAAGAGGAGGCTTGATGTTTACCTGGCTGGGGTCATTTGAGCCCAGTTTTCTCTCTTGCCCAGGGCAGGGGGTCGGACTAGAAGATCTACAAGGTCCCTTCTGACCCTACGTCTATGAATCCAGGTTATCTTAGTTCTTAGGGTTTTGAACAGTGCTGTCTATTGAGCCTCAAGAAATTTGGGTGGGTTCTGTTCACATGTCTGCCACTGATTGTCCATGCAACTTAGGGCAAGCCACTTCACTTTCTTGCGTCTCAGTTTCTCTGGTTACCCATGTTATTCTGAAGTTAGCCAGAAGGTATGGCAGGGTGGCACCTTAGGGCATATGTAGATGAAGCAACATCACCTGTTTACATTGATGCAACTGCATTTGTGTTTGCATGACCCACGATTTCTCACCGCTCTAAAGTCCATTTAGTGCCTTAAACTAACACTACTCAGAGATGCGTTAATTTGCTGCATTCTCTAGTTATGCCGCTCCAACTGTGGATTTGTTCATACAAACAGCCAGACTCCAAAGACTTCTAATTAATCCCTTTCACCATGAGGGGGCACTGTGTTCCAGCCTCCAGCCAGTAGGTGCCGCTGTGTGTTCTTGTTTATCTTCCTTCAATCCTCACTCCTCCCTTCTCCCTCACAGCGTGCAGTTCAGGTTGGGATGAGTCCACTCAGACCAATTATTATTTTAAAATAGGGGAGACAAATAATCTCTTGTTTTTCTACCCCCTCTTAATTCTTCTGTCCCCTCGACACCTATAGTGTATGTCTTCCCCCCTGCCCATGTACCGTCCTGCTCTCCCCCCCCCCCCATGTACCCTCCACCTGCAACCCCCACAACCTCCGTCATGTGCTGCCACTGCAGTGAACATAGCTCCCAACGACAGCTGCAGCATCACCGTAATGGTAAGATTTTTACAAGTACTTTGAAACTTTGGAGTGAGTGGTTACATGACTTCCTTCAATATTGCAAACCTTCTGAACTTCACCACATTCCACTTCAGAACCACAACTAAAAGTCCAGGGGCAGGATGCTGCCTGCCAGACCCAACACCAGGATATGCAGTGTTCTGGGTGATATTTAGGTGATATGTCCCACAGACCTTATGTGTGTTTGAGGGGGCAAAAGTCCTGTTTTTGACTGTGCACCAAACCCCCTTCCTCTTCCTCTTCTTCCTTTTTCCCCCTCCTCACAGAAAACTTTCGTGGGCGGAACTCACTGCGGGTGGCAACCAGCTCACAGCCAAGTGATGAGAAGAGTAGAGTGAAGATAGTGAAGAGGAGTAGAGTGAAGATATCTTCAAATTTTTATTTTTTTTTAATTTTGTATATATTTTATATTGTTAAATTGTATATAGTTATTGTTAAAGCTGCAGCATTTTCAGTAAAGTGTTTTATTTTTGTTCTATATATATGTCATATTTTCTTTGGGGTGGGTGGTTGGGGGTTTTTTTGGAGACCACACCCACCTCAGTGTGGTGGGGATGTTGTGCTTTGTGGGGTTTTATGGAGTCATGGCATTACTGTCATGTTGCAAAGAGTTGCAGGGTGGACTGTTATCAGAGGAAGGGAGGGAATGCTTATTAAGTGCTAGCTAGGGTGTGGTGCAACCAGCATGTCTTGTAAGAAAAAAAGACTAAACAACCCCACCCACCACCATCAACAAGCAGACAATCTGCAAAACTTCTCCATGCATGGACCTCCCACGGCCTTTAGCTTTTAGCAAGTCTTTAAAGACTTTAGTAAGTCTTTAATGCAGTATAATGCATTTCATATGCATGGTCCCTGAGGGGGTTGGGGGTTGGGGTTAATGCCTGCTGTCACAGCTCCAAAACAGCTTCTTCCTTTTTTTCTGAGTTTTCTTTTTTGCAGGCCGTACTGTTATGGGAGGTGCAATGCAAAATTATTATTTTTTCAATGCTTTCTTTGCAATGCAAAGTTTTCTTTACAAAATCCTGCATGCAGCACCTTCCCGAGTCAGGTTTGCACACTGCACCCCTCCCCACCAGTCGGTTTCAACCCACTTCCCCCCTGAAAAGAGCTCATCAGATTTTGTTCAGGATTGTTTTGTCTTCCCCTGTCATATTGTCTTCCCCTCTCAGTCTTCTCAAAGGACAGGAAAAGGTGGAGGGAAATGAGGAGCAGCACTCCCAAGGCAGCCCAGGGTAATTTCTTCAGCTATCTCTAGTCCTCTGCAGAATCAAGTGTATTTAAAGACAACATCATTGTGGGAGAACATATTTTCCTCCAAATTCAAGAAATTTGCAATACCTCCTTCTCCTACACTAGGTATTGGCATGTCCTCATCAGATGAGTCTCAGCTAAGCAGGGAGCTGCTAATTAGCTAAGTCCAGGGGTTCAAAAAGCACTCTGCTCCCTATAGAGAGGCCAGAAGTGTTATGCAGCAAATTACTATTCCAAGACATATTATTGAGGTGCCTGGAGGGGAGGCAACCAATCTGAAATACGGGCCTTGATCAGCTTTGTGTCCAGCCTGGAAAGCTACTCCACTTCCATCCCTGGCCGGCTACAAACCTCTCCCTGGCTCTCTGGTTCATGCCCTGAAATCAAGCATGTACAAATCAGAATTTTTTGTTCCTTGTCTTTATTTTTTTCACAATAAATTGAATTGCAATCAATTTCATTAAGAAATCACAATAAAGCTAAAACAGTATAGACATTTTTTGTTTATTCAACAATGCTGCTGGTAGTCAACTGGTGAATACATTTTTTGCAGTACAGCCGTTGCCAGCTATCGCAATACAATAGGATAAAATACCAATTCACAATATGCTCCCATGCTCCCTTGAGTAATCCCTTGATATGATATGGATGGATGGATGGAGGGCTGCATGGTAGGAGGGTGAGAGAAAGGGAGGCAGGGAAGCAGGGAGGAAGGCAGGCAGCAAGCCAGCCTGGTCCCCTAGGGGCCCTCTCAGGTAGAGATGTATGGCCCAACTCAACTGGATGGCTGAGTCGGGCTACTCTCCATTACATTGTAACTTTGGAATCTTTGCTAGCCACAAAGTTTAGGTAGGGAGGGAGGGAACCCCTCAGGTGGGCATCCTACAGTCCCTGCCCTCCACTTGGTGAAGATGGGTGAGAAGCTGCTGCTGACGGAGAGGGGAAAAATGGAGAATGATGAAATACCTGACGATGGAGAACAATGTAATGAAGAGTCCTTTGGCATGGAGAATATGGAGGACATGGGTGAACAGGAGGTGGAGGAGGAGAAGGTAGCAGTACTGCTTCTGCAAATGCTGTTTACCTGGGGATTACTGCTGCAGTGCTTGAGAAGGATAGAAACTTTGCTACAGTGTTTACTGGCAAGTGGTGTTCCTGGTTTAACAGCATTAATGACAACAAGAAAAAGAAGATACAGGTCCCCAGAGGACTTGGAATACACAGAGGAAAGTGAAGAAGTGGAATTTGACTGGGCTGTGTTGAGAAACCTAAGGACGACCAGAATTCACACAGTGTGGGCCTGTGAGAGCAGCTTGGACTGGTGGGAGTGAATCGTGCTAACCACTTTGAAT